TTCTTCACACCAGTCGATCAAGCAGAATCTCTGCATTCAGAAAAATATGTATTTTGTCGGGCGATTCCGCTTCATTGAGGAGGTATAGCTATTTTATTAAAGTTATCTCAACTAGCGCTGAGATGCTCTAGATCAACTGCATTCATTATTATAATACTATTGGCGTTACGGTCTTCAAGGTGCCGGTACTCTCAGGTTTACCCGGTAACATTCGAACTTCTTTGGAGCTTCCGATTACTCACAGTCTCTATTTTAAGAGTATTGTATATATTGCCGAGCAATTATTATTAGATGAGGAGATATAGCTAATTTCTCTATGATATACGAGTTGCCATCTTCAAGCATACCGTCCTAATTGTAAGGTTTGTCCAGTAAGGTATAACTTTGTGTACACCATTCTTTCCATCGAAAATCCTATATTCAGAAAAACATATATTTTGTTGAGCAATTCGGCTTTCTTGAAGAGATGCGGCTATTTTCATATAATCTTCTTTGCCTTGGCCAGCTTCTGTTTATTTAATTCAAAATATTTTGAAAGAACATTAAAGGATGAAGGGCTAGCACATTGGAAAACTGATAAAGTTGATATTGATTATGAATCTGTTAGGATTCATAATCAATATCAACTTTATCAGTTTTCCAATACCGGTACCTTGAAGAGATATAATTCCATTTTGTTTCTCTACTTGCAGATTTTTGAATCAAACTTCTTTCTGCTGCGCGGAACTTTTCTTTGCCTATGTTTTTTATAGTGCTATGTTGCTGTTAGCATTGGATACTGCTTTACCATTGCTGCTTACTGTACTATGCTGATTTACATTACTACTTTAATACCAAAAATTATTCTGCATTTAATATCAGTATATCATTGCTTTCCACTTAACCGGTAGTATTCATTAACAATCGTGTCTTGTAATTCTACGATTTTGTTGTGTTGTTGCACAGGGTCTGTTTGAAAGGAAATAGAATGTCGATTTAAAAAGAGTTGTGTTGCTTTCGGTGGATTTCAATTATTTCTTTGCAAAGGAAAAGAACATGTTTTTGTTGACACGTATTTATTAATCATGAACTGCTTTATGATTCAAGAAGGCAGAGGGGTATTGATTTTTACAATACATTCAAATACAATACAATTATTCATCATCATTTTTGTTACTACTAACGATAAATCAGATTTGCAAATTTTGGATGGCGTGCAAATGGAACGAACACATAATACATAAAAGAATTTGCACAAATAAATAATTAAATAGTTTCACATCAACGCGATTACGGTTTACAGCTAGAACGAAATACGCAGTGAAATGACATTCTATCGATGCTCGTGAGGAGAATCGACTCACAACAATTACAAGAAAATGATCTGAGTAAGTAAATACATTTCACTTCGGCACGAGTAGAGATGAATAAATTCACATCAGTGCAAGTAAGGTTTAAAATTGGAATTATAGATGAGATTTCTCTGAGAGGGAAATCAACAATAAAATGAAGAAATGAATTCTATCAATCATAGAGTTTCCACATTTTCCTTGATTCTGCCTCGCTAATGATAGTAAAATTTCATCCATTACCAATTCGTTCAAATTTCAAACTCTAGTTGTGAACATGAAAATATACGATTAAGATTGTAATATATTTACAGAAGAGAGACAGACAGCTGATCAAAACATGTCAATATGAAATATTTTGTTCATGAGTTGCAGTGCAGTTATTCGAAAGCTTCCTCGAGATCATTACAGCAAAGAATATAAAAGTGAGTACCATTGCATCATTTCCATTTTTCGTTAATGGTGATTTAGACCGTTAATGCTGAAAGTAGTTCATTTCAACGGTATCATTTATTCTCTTTAACAAGAAAATAAACAGATTTTTCTATCGACTCAACTATGCCAATTGTTGACAGCCTAAACAGCAACTGCGACTACAATTTGACTTCCTTCTTTCGAGGATGACACAACAGAACTGACTGCTGATTGTGAGCACACAACATGCTCCATAAACAATTCGAATACTAACCACCTGCCAATATTAATTTCATTCTGGTAGTGTACTCGCAAAGTTCAATAAGAAGGAATCCATCAAAAACTCACCTAATCAGCGTAAACTTCTGCAAGCACTTTACGAGTCCTTCTATTCCTCTGCGGACTTTTCGGCGGCAGGAACGATACCTGGTGTCCGGCTGAACGAGTCTTCATCCTCGTTATCCGACTACTCGATTCATCTTCTTCATTGACCGTCGAGAGCTTCTTTTCTGAGCGTGTACTTCCTTCGTCGGCCATTTTCCTTGATCTCGTTCCACGCTTTGGCGCATAACTGTTCATCGCGAGTAATTGCTCGGCGTTTCCTTCATCACTCTCATTCAATTCGTTCCCTCCAGCCCTTCAAAACAACACACTGCACCGTTGTTGTCAGTAACCAATTAGAACTATACACAATCAAGTAAAAGAAAGATCAAACCGATACCATCCAACTGATACAACTGCTACGTACATTTCTTGGNACTCAGACTTGATCCGACGCAGTGAATTTTGAAGTCTCATGATCGTTTTTAATGACAATTTGCACAGTTGCGCATCTAGCTCCTCGTCGTCAACTCCGACGTTTATCATTTCGCAGACCTAAATTAAGATCTCATAAATAGATATACAACATGATATGTCATAGTCAGTGAACCGTAAGCTAAACCAAACTGAGAATAAATGTCATACTGAAGACGGAACAGCTCATTCCATCTTTGAATAATCGATCACCAAGTACTTCAGGTAATCACTCAATTTGAACTTCAATTGAATTCTGGGAAGGAAACAAATCTCCAGGCAACGAAAGACTACAGAGAATAAAATCCCATAACAAGTCAATATTGATCTTGCAAAAGTTATTCTCGTGAACATGAAAAACTGTATGATTTCGTGTCATCAAAAAAGATTACCGAGTCGACCTGAGGTTTGTCGACGCTCGCTACAGATGGACTTCTGAATGCAATCTTGTCGTTGAAACGAACTGACTTCTGCAACATTAGAAAATAACAGATCAAAATGAATGCATTAAAATTGACCATAAATCAATCTGTCGAGAAGAAGCTCGAAATGTACTCACAGGAGTTTTTTTACAAGAAGATCTGAGAGTGGAATTCGATGGTGTGCACGAAGAGGATGCACCAATTGGAGTAGACAATGGCTGGAGTTCAGATGAATCGAAAATGCTTGTCGATATTCTTGGAGACAGGAACGTGGCAGCTGTAGTGTGACTTTTAACAGTTATATCCATAGGATTGATTCCATTCGGGAACAGAGAAAGACGTTCACGCTGACGCTGCAAGCAATCAATTTTCTATTACTCTATTATTATTATTATTACTAAGGTTAATTACTATCATTACCTCTACTACCAACAATTTTTGATGTTAAAAAATGATAAAAGTGGACGAACCGCATATGAAGGCCTGCCAATAATATGTGCAATTGGTTTGTGATTGATGATATCGAATAGAGATTTTGCATCTTTCTCGAAAGGTATACCCACAGAATCAATTTTACCGGCCGCACTTGAGTTCTTCTTTGAAGTGCTTTGTGAGGGTCGAAGAGTCTGTAAGGAACGCTGAAATGTTGAAAATTAATGAAACTCCAACATATTCACCTAGCTTAGTCGATCATTTGCGAAAATCTAATACATTTTGATTCAAACCATAACTTGATTGAACAATTTTACAAACACTCTGAATCATTATCACAATCCTAAAATTCTCAGAGGATACGTTGAGGAATTAACAACACCTTAATTGCATGATGATGCAAAGGAATTGTTGATGCAAACAAACTTTGCACATTTCTTGTGGATTGAACTGTAGCGAAATGTGATAATACTTCTTTATGAACCAAGAATTCCACTTACAGCTGTTGGTGGAGGCCTCCATGCGGCAAAAGATTTTTTGACCTGCTTGATTTCCTTTCCATCCGCATTTTGAGTGCACTTCCTTGAATCTGATACGCCTGAATTTGTCGAGATTGTTTTCGGTTGCGTTGTTGGAACGGGAATTGAAGAAAACGTTGCTTTACAACCATCAACCAAACCCATCAGCTGCTCCTTACTGTACGAGTGAACAGGAACTCCATTGAATTTACTAAAAAATAGCCGTTTTGTGTTCACAGATGAAATCAGCGAATTGATTCATACATTGAATCCCAAAATCTACAATGTATTCACGCTGCCACAAACGAACAGGTGAATGACCAGGCCTTACATTGGAACATTT